TGTTAGAACTGCATAATTTATTTACATCACAGTAACAAGTTTGTTTCGCTGACTAACCAAACTGTACCTACAACTGCTGTTATATAGGTGCACGTGTGGAAACTGCGCAGTCATGCCAACCGAAGTGGAAAACGTCTGTTGTAGGGAAATTAGAAAGGTGACAGATACAACAAAAACACTAACAGTAGCACACAACATTATATACACCATACATACTTGTCAAGTCAATGGACTATTATATGCCCTTTTATTTATTCTATAGTAATTGAATGTTTATTTTGTAAACCTCGCCATATTTGGAGTTAATTGCTAAACGTGTTATGTTACAAATATCTTATCTTCCTATAGGTTGCAACACGAATGATGCAAGTCCCAGAACCTATTGTGTGCATGGTTGACCACCCCGGACTAGAGCCAAACTGTTTAAATCCATACACCCTGCAGAACCTCCATAACATTTATAGGTTTGATTATGGACCTTTGAGGCGTAGAACAGAAGAAGAGTAAGTTATTTTTACCAGTAATAAACTACTACTGTATTTGATGAAAAATCAAATCATGGTTTGCTATATATGAATGATATGCTATCTAGGAGCAAATAATTCAGGGAAGAAAGGCTACCAAGTATTTCTATCAAACTTTATTTCTAGAAATGTACAAAATGATGATTGATATACATATATACACTGTATAAGATAAGATGGACCTTTATTAAAAATCAGTTGTTCAAGCAGCCAGAGGGTAAGGGTGAAAAACAGGACAGCACATATATCTTATCATCCATTCCTCCTCTTATAGGCGTTTTCAGCATCTTGCCTATCGCAGCTTTGTAAGCTGGTGCTGGGGCTTCTTAGGACGAGGCATCAGAGTGGTCATCCCGTCATGTGTTGTCCGCCGGATACGCCGGGAGTTTCCTGATCTGGCTGGACAGTATGTTGGCTTCCGACCGCCCCTTGACTAAAACGTGAGACATGGCGGGCTACCACTTCCTCCTTTGAGGGCCTGTCAAATTGAGTGGACAGGTCCTTTGGGATGGGGATTTTATTCATCTCCTCCACAAAGGGTGTTGGATCCTCAAAGACTTCTTCAAACACCAGCCTCATCAGCTCACCCACGTACACTGAAAAATATAACATTCATATAATAATTTATTATTTGTATTTTTATTTTATTTTTTCATTGTACATATAATTCAGTGTGGCTATCTCTCTAGGTCATCCTCAGACGAGCCCTCCATCGTTGCTTCCAGTCATCCCGGTTCTCCATATATCTGGCCAGTTCATTGGTACTTTGTGCAATAATCATTTAAAATGTAAGTTATGTTTTTAATAAAAACAAAAATATTTGACAACTTACTGTATGTAGGGTCCTTCTTTACAGGCTTTGCGGTACATTCTCCCCTCCTTGCTTTTGGATAGGCCAATTTGTACACAAGTAGTCCTGCAGCTGTTGTGGCTTGCTCACGGTCAGCATTCTCATTGTGATGCATGGCTGCTAGACACAACCTATAGAATAGCAAAATAAAATGAGACTTTGTGTTATGACAGAATAAAACCCTCATGCCACTAAACAGTGACTGTGTTATAAGATGCTACAGAATAAATTATACAGTGTATTACCTGCACAACATTCCCATGAAGGCGAAAACCACATTTTTGGGGGCAAAACGCAGAATCAAGCTGTGGATGAGGTCTGGTAGTGATGGCTTAGCTTTTTCACATCTTTGAGAACTCTCTTGTTGAGTATTTTGTCAACTGTGTGGAGTGTTATTGAATCTTGAGTGAAATTACAAAAACATCAACATCCCATTAGAACATTACAACTATCATTTTCCATAACAACAATGTTATATTTACATTCAATATTGTTGATATTATGAAGGAAGTGAAGTGTTTTTAAATTTCTCACTTGTTATTTCCAATTGTTTTATAAATATTGAACTTACCTGGTTTTAGCCATTTATTTGCATCTGTTGTGGCTCTTTCAGGATGTTCACACTTGGGGAATAGGGGGTCGTCGTGCACGTGAATGTTTTGTAGGTGGTTGACGACTGACATCCACCTTGCCATCTTCTCCGGCCCAGAGGTTGTGCTCGTCGCACTCCAGTATACATGGTTTTTTATGCTGTGCAGCCACCTCTTCAACAACTTGCAGTCCTTGTTCTGTGAAAGTTTCACAAGTTTCTTGGACAAACCTGAAAACACATGCACAAGTGAATATTCAAGCCATAGTGTGTAAATGATGTGCTGTGATGGACAATATTCAAGGGTGTGGTGGAAAGTAGGGTGGGGGGCAGACAGAAGGGTAAGCACAGCATGTTAATTACAACCATAACATCCATATAATAATTGCCTGACAATGGTCACCCTTCTGTCTGAAAGCATTTAATAGCCAGGAAACCCCCATACATATTCATATACACATCACTGTAAATTCCCATTCTAAAGAGTACTCACATTATCCTAAGAGTAGTGAGTGAAATTGAATTTACAATGACAAAAGGTGCTGTGATCAAGTGGTCTGGCAGACAGTTTACAATAACAGGAAAGACCAGATTAGAGGGACAAATTGTAGGGGGATATAATTCATGTATCTATCCAGACATGATGTCATTTCTGCTGCTGATTAGAAGCTCAGGATAAATTGCATAGTAAAACAAAGGAATATCTTAACAAAGGACAGTGTCTCTGATTTGGTATTCTTCCATTCAAACATATAGGGATAAATACCTTTTTCAAAGTGCCACACATCATAGAATTGTTCTATGTTGCGTTCCCTCAGAAACCTCTGGATTTGTGGATGACGGTCAGTCACAATGTACTCAACCGCCAAATTGTTTGACTCCAGATGATCTAGGCATCTTTTCAGTCCCTCCTTTTCCATGTGATAACTCCCAGCTACTTCATTGCTCTGTTGGTGAATAATAAATAGGGCATAAATACACTGAAACATGCATCAACAGCCAGTAAGCATAAAATGATAACACCCAGAAAGAGATTCACACCTGAACAAGCTGGAAGTCCACAATGGTGTTGCTTCCCAGGTGCATTAGTGTGTAGCTTCCGAACTTTGCCGAGTGCCCTGAAGATAATATAATAAAGGAGGTTTCAAGGCTTTTCAACAGAATTTCAATGGATAACTTTTAGATGAATTGTAATATACACCAGTAACTCTGGCACTAGACTGTCTTGTTTGTTTCTGATTACCTGGAGAGTCTGCTCTCATATCTCCTGCAACTGTGACATTTCCCCCCTGGTGGTGTAGTTGCTGGAAAATCTTCAGCTGATCAGTCTTCCACTTGTGGATAATAGCAGGCTCCAGGTAATTCCTAGCATGCCTCCTGAAGGTCTCATACTGGAAGATCTCCAGCTGCATGGCTCTGCATATCTACGAATACATAGAAAAAGAGGAAACGTTTTTGAAAAAGTCCACTGCTGTCAATTTTCATATGCTATGGATGTTAGATGGTAAAATACCTTTTGTAGTTGGAAGAAGGAACCACCACTGAAGTATGTAGCAGCGGATAATTGTAAGTTGCCAACCGGGGTACTTCCGACGACGGGCTGGCTCTCCCATTGTCTGAGGTCATTGTAGCTGGCATAAAAACAATGTTTTTCCAAGCAAACTCATGTCTAGCTCTTAGTAGCCTTGTTGTTTAGCTCGGTAGCATACACGCTCGGAACGCCAGCTATAATGTAATTACGTTTCGCGACTGACCGTACGGTAAATCACCCAGAATATACTGTCTATGAGTATTTCGTGTGTGAATGCAGACATTCTCCTGCTATGAGATACATGTATGTAAGGCCATCTGCTGATATTGGAGTTGATATATGGAAACGCTAGCAACTTAGTTAGCCCAGTTAGCACTGTGTCAATGGCTGAGCAGTCCGAAACACGTTTACACATTTAAACAATCGTGGTAGATACCTTGTTTGATAAATACACAAATAACAATGCAAACTTACAGGTTGTGTACCCGAATCTTCCCCTGCTCCAAACGGTCCAAACAAACTAGGAATAGCATCGTCCTTCAGTTTCAAAGGCTGTGCATATCCGGCCTCAAACTGGGCAATGTTTTGGAAGCTTTCCTCTGTGAAATGCCGCGCACACAGTAACGTTCTTCGAACCTCTGAAGGAACAGTGTTAAACAGAAATGTCAACCACTGACTTCGTCGTGGTTCTTCCGTCGGTAGGACAAACAGCTCAGATTTCTCCTCACATTTCAGGAAACAGGTCCTTGGCAGTGGCATGACTGGATCGATTGTGAACTGAACCAGAGCTTCCAACAGTAAATGTTAGGCTGGCAGAGGGTGCGGCCAGCGCCGCTGGGTGTGGCCATAGTTCTTCCGGATTGGTCCATTTTGTTCCGGGTACCGCATGACATCATGCCGTACCCGGAAGAATCAAATGGGCAGTGACGTATCTCCAACGAGGCGTTTTGGGGAGGTATTTTCTGTGTTAGAGTTTTACTCGCTACAGGGTGTACTTTGAGGGTTTTGACTCTGCAGACCGTTTACATGCATAAAAACCTTCATAACACACAAGGGGACGGGTAATAACCGGAAAAGCATGACATGGGCCCTTTAAAAATAATGTAATTTTCAATTTATACATGATGAAAGAGTGTCACATTTTTCATCTGACGCATATCGCTGTTTGAAATAAAAGTCACTGTGCATCGAGGAATTCTTCATCAGCTAGCTAAATAAATCACTAAAGCAATGAAAAAATGAACAATGCATGGCTAATATATTAAACATACTGTTGTATTTCAATGAGGAAAATCTGTTCTGTCAAGCTTCTATTTGTATTAATAAGTGATTGTGATTAATACGCAGATACAGAAAGTGTGACTTGTACTGAATTTAATGAAAGGATATGCTAAATAGCAGAGGGGGTAGAGAGGTTTGAGTGCGGCAGAGTAAAGATCAGCTCGGAAACAAAAAGAGAATGAGTGAAGAGACGACGAGATTATGAAAGGGCTACGATAAAGAAAGTGATAAGATAAGAGTTTAATTTTAGCGCTTGGGGCAGATAAAAACAACTGAGAAACAGGTAAAGTCAAGAGTCTGTTTAACGTCAGGGACACTCCCCCCCCTCTCCTTTCCCCGCTCAGCAGATCATGCAGGACTCGTATGTGGGCACCATGTATTTGATGTTGATGAAAGCATCTTCTCCTCCGTAGCGCTCGAACACCTCCAGAGTCTCCTGGATCAGATCCCCGATGTTCTGCCTCTTCTGCTGGCTGTAGTCGATGCCATCTCCAGAGTTGACTGGGGACAAGGAAACAGAGTCAGACAGGAGAGAAACACAGATATTCCAGCTCTGTCGGGGTCACTGCAGACTGCGAGGTTGATGTCGGGGCTCAGAAAGCACCACCTGTGGCCACGGCGCGGTGTTTTGCTGCAAATGCCATCCTTCCATCTGACTTCAAACCCAGTGGACAGACTGAATTTAATTTACTGCTCTCACGCCGCGGCCAGTTGGGACCGAACAGCAGCAGCGTTTTTTAACTGTTCAGCTGAAAGTTTAATGAGGCAGGCCTGCAGAGAGGCGTAAAGGACGTGCGAGCTGGAGACGGCTCTGCTGTTGCACAACGCTGCGTTGATGCACACTACGCATAAGCATTGACCTGGACTCTCTCCACAGGTAGGAATGTGTGTGTTTGTGTGTGTGTGTGTTTATGATTTTGCATTTTTCAGGTGTTTTTGTGTGCGGTAAATAACAAAAAAAGACTATAGCGTAATACACAAGTGGCCAATCACAATACAGAAAGAAAGCTGCAAAACCTCTCCTCCCCCAGGACACACAAACTAAAACACACACACACACACACACACAGACAGTGCTGTAAAACACACATAATTGTACAACAGAGCTCTGGAGCGCTGGGGGAACTTGTTATCGAAAAAACATTCCTGAGGTGTCCAGCCTCCACTACTTCGTTCTCCCTCCCTTCCAGCAGGCACACTTAAACACACACACACACACACACACACACACACACACACACACACACACACACACACACACACACACACACACACACACACACACACACACACACACACACACACACACACACCACACACACACACACACACACACACACACACACACACCACACACACACACACACACACACACACACACACACACACACACACACACACACATCGTGACTTTATCAGCACACAGCCAATCTCATGGCACTGCACTGGGGGCTCAAAACACTTTTCACAGGGAGGTAAATAGAGAGGAATGAGGCACACGCACGCACGCACACACACACGTACGCACACACGCACGCACGCACACACAAGTTTGCTTGCCAAAAGAGTCCTGTTTAACAAAAGAAATCCTGGAGAGAAACAGTGGATTTATTTTTTGAGGCCATAAAACTAAACGAAAAAAAGCGTTTTCTTTCCACTCAAAGCATTTGTGGTACGAGTTAGAAGAGAAAATAAGTGACGCAGAAAATGAAGAGCAGCACACTCTTCTTTCTCTGCTAATTAGACCTGCGGAGAGAAGGAGACATTAAGCCTCTCAACGACTTCTTCCTAACACTCCATCCTCTATTCCTTCTCACTCTTTTCTAATCGCTCATCTTGCCTAACGGACTCAACCCCCCCCCCCCCCTCCTCTCTCTCACTCTACATCTCCTCTCCACCCATCTATGGCCTCCTCATTAAAACACAAAGAGGCGATCCCATAAAGAGGGCTGTTAAGCAGTAACACGTCTATGTTAGTCTGCTGCACTCTCTGCTCAGGATTCACTCTCCTGTTTAACATGAACTCGATGGGGGGGGGGGAATCCTCCAGCCGCGTTTTGACCGTTGCTTGGCCTAGAGACACACTGCAACTTTTACAGCTTCAGCTTCATTTAGCAGCTATTTACTGTGTTTGTCCTTTTGGAGAAACAGGGAACACTAACAGCATTTGCTCAGGAATGCAGCCTTTCCGAATAGCTCTGCATCCAAACTCAGGCCGTGTGTTATTCTCCAGCTACCCACAACACAGGCGTCTGCACCCTACTAGTTAGCGAAACCTTAAATAGCATCTAAAATGCAGCCATGTGAGCTTTAAAAGAAAAAAGGCAAAGCAATCAGAGAGGAATGAGTGTGTGTTCTCGGAGCAGGAGAGTGGTTAGATAATGTAAAGAATAAAAATGACAAGAGTTGGGTCACTTCTACAGTCTGTGTAAAGACAAGGTCCATCTTCTTCTCCTCCTCCTTCTTCTTCTTCTGTGTGAGTGTTTGTATTGGTGGAGGTTAAAAAGCCAAGCCTGTTGAGAGCCACCCTCTGGTACGGTGAAAATGAGCAGCCAAAGCCAGCCCAGAGGGAGAGCTTGGCCTTCAGACTCGAGAACACAGGGAGCCAGGGAGGGGGTGCGGCTTGGGAACCAGGAAAGCACAGACCCGTTTATTGGGGCCTGCAGGGGGGGGAGCAGGGAGGTCCTGCAAGGGGGGGAAATGTTGCCATACTGACAGTTTTATCCTTTCAAAGTGTATTTCTATTGCTGAGCCGGTAGCATCAAAAGGAAGAGGCCAGAGGAATTCAGCAACGATTCTCAATATTTAAAGAGGAGAAAAAAGGTAGAAGTGTGTTTAAGCAGGCATGGAGGGAGAGAAGGGGGGGGGGGGGGTGTGTGAAAAGCTGCCTCTTCAGATGTCCTTTAGCAAAATAACTTTCGCTCTTCTTCTTCACTCCTCTTTTTCTCTGCTAACGGCAATATCCGCAACCCTGGGCAGACAGAGAGAAAAAAAATTCATAATAGAAAAAACTCCAGCCCTGTGAACAGAAAAAGGGCCGTAGCAGGAGCTGGCTGTCTGTTCCTCTGAGGAAGAGGAAGGCTCGATTCAGACGACAACAGAGGAAGACTATCAGGAGGAAGAAGAAAGGATGGTTGCATCAAAAGGCGGGATTGTAAGAGTTATTTGAAGGAATCTATCTATCTATTTATCTATCTACAGGGTCTGTGCTTCTCTCGGGCGTTGTTGTAATTTCTGTCGACCCACCCTTGACCAACAGCTGCAGTCCTCCTCCTCCCTTTCCTCCACCCTGCTCTAACTACATCGCCTATTCTCCACGGTCCTAAACAACCTGTCTTCCCACATCAAGCTGAAGACAAGCAGTCACAGATGCAGGCAGCACTCGTTTCCTCCAAGCATTTAGAGTTCATTTAAAGGGGATAGTTACTGCTGGGAACTGTAGCTTAATGGATGACAACTGCACTGCTATGTTCATACAATTGGCACCAAGGAAACAGTCCTTTACAATGAAAGGCAGTAATATGAAGCTACAAATTTGCGCCCTACGTTTGTTGATGTATGACGGACATGATGCGCAATACAAATCAAAGTTAAGCTAGCCTCAACTTTTCCAATCATACATTTCTTGTCCCTTTCCCCCCCATACCTTTTCCCGTCTGTATGAATAAAATGGAGTAAAAACCGTTCCTGCGATACCCAGTTCCCTGAGCTATTAAATGACATAACAACGCCAACGAGCGTTCGATTAAGTTTAAGTAAGGACAAGTTAGCAACTGGGAAAAATGTAGCTAGCCACGCTTGGTCGTTTTATATCTTTTGTCGCCTGTGGTTTGAACATAACATTCCAGAGCTGTACTATAACCCCCATTTTAGGATTTCAGACTGGGGTTAGCTGCATCATGTGTGTAGTGTGTGGTTATAATCCCCTCTCCTGCCAGGAACCGGGTGACACACACACTGCAGGAGCTTTGGGAAGTTTAACTCAGAATTCCAGATTCAACACAATATCTACCCACCTGCCATTGTTTCTAATCAACTTACCCCTGATTGTGGAAGTTCCTTAGGAAAGCAGCTTATAGAGAGGAGGCCCCCCAACACAATGGAGCTTTGATCCTAGCAGCCAGATGCAGAGGAGAATCAATGAATGTGAGAGACCTGGGGATTTTTTTTAAGGGGGTTTGGACTTGCTTGAAAAGGGAAATGGAGAATGCCGGTTACGGGTGCGATCAAACAGCTCGTGTGCCAGGAATATTTTGTGCAGAAGCTTGCAGGGCTGAGTGTGTTTGGTAAGTTGTGTTGTCATTCCTTCCAATCACCTACCACATAATGATAATCCTCCAAGCAAACTTTTAAGGGCTTCATAACGGCATAAGAACACACATTATATTGAATTTTAAATGTGTTTTTTCATGCAGTTTTCTAAAACAACGATTTTCCTTTGGGAATATGTTAAAATTCCCTTTTAAAAACGGCTTTTTCCCTTGTGACAATATTTAAAATGTTGCTTGTTTTTTCTCCTTTAAAAGAATTCATCATAATATGTTAGCTAGACTTTTTATTCTGAGACAACAGAAGGTATAACATCATGGTATTCAAATGGTTTTCCTGTCATACTATTTCTGTTCAGGCTAAACACTGAGGGCATTTTTATTCGTGCTTTCCCGTTTCTTATTCTGTGAGATCGTACAGCATGCCAACAATTGTTTTCCTTTTTAACTGGTTTCAGATTCTCAGGAATAAAATGAAACCCAAGCACGCAAGCAAAATCTGATCTCAATCATTCTTTTGAAAATTATTTTTCCCAAGGATTTTGGATGAAATACAGTTAATACAAACTAGATTGTTGTTGATAGTGTATGTGAAGCAGGCACCCAGAACAAGGAGAGGGAAGGAAGCACCGTGGTGGCGAGTGTGTGACAGAGACAGAGGGTGTGTGAGTGTGAGGAGTGGTAGGGACTACTGGAGGAGGCCGGTGCTTAACAGCAGGGCTCTAATTAAAAGGGCCTCACAGTTAGGCGCCAGGCAGGCCTTTCATAAAGAGACTCACACTCTGGCAGAGAGGTGGGAAACACCAGGTGTGTGTGTGTGTGTGTGTGTGTGTGTGTGTGTGTGTGTGTGTGTGTGTGTGTGTGTGTGTGTGTGTGTGTGTGTGTGTGTGTGTGTGTGTGTGTGTGTGTGTTGTGGTTGTGGTTGTGTGTTCCTAACTACAGGTGTCTGCAAAGTAAAGGCAGCAAGGCAGAGTATGGGAGAACATCATAGCAGTGTGTGTGTATGCATGTGCATGTTGGGGTTATTATTAAGTATCTTTGTGGGTATTGTTTGAACACATAAAGACACGTGGACAGCACACACACAGAGAGGGATAAGTGTGCCTGTATAACTGCATGTGACAAGGACAGAAAGAGAGAGAGAGAGAGAGCAAGTGGACAGAGAAGTGATGCATGAGGACTAGGGGTGCCTCTTTAGTTGGTGACCATTGTTACACAGTGTCGCAGCTCACA